AATATTATAAATGTGAAAGTTTCGATGGATGTTTGTTAAACTTTGTAGCCTAAACGGCTGAACAGATCTGGATGAAATTTCGCGTAGATGTTAAATATAGTCTGGAAGAACACATAGGCTAGCTACTTTTTTTAAATTCTATTTGAACGGAGTCGCGGGGAAAAGCTAGTATGTAACAATACAATGTTTATTATAAGAGTAACTGAAATTTTATGCAGTTAAGACTATTCGATATTATGTACGAGCAAATACTTTTACCTAGTGTTTTTTTGTGGTTAGGTATTTAATTTTTAATTTGCAAAGCTATAGAAAAAAGCATTTTGTGTTTTCCGTCACATTAATTCAAGACCCGTTAGTTCTTATCGCTTTATAATATCAAAATACAGTAACGACGGAAGTCCTTGAGTTATATCTGTGCCAATTATCCGGTTCTAAATAATTTAGACTGTGAATTTAATATTAACTAGATTCAATTATAAATTCATGTGCCATTGACCCATTTTGATTACAGTTGTTTTTATTAGTAAGTAGACAAGCGTTACTTCACGTTAAAAGCTTCTTTTAATTCTCTTCTACAGTAATGAGTTTTGTAATTTGGTATTTCTTACTAATATTATTAATGCTAAGATGGATGGATGTTTGTTAGAGTTTGTAGCCTAAACGGCTGAACCGATCTCGATGAAATTTGGTATAGATGTAGATGATAGTCTGGAAGAATACATAGGCTACTCACTTTTGGTTTCTTTTTTAATTCCATGCGGACAGAGTCGCGGGTGTAACCCAGTAACGAATAAACTCTTATACTTTGCACTGATTTAAAAAAATGTTTTTAATATTAGTAAGCTACTTTATTATGTTTTAAATAGACAGTTAATGTGTTAACAAAATCGAGTTCACATTTGATACTAAGAGCACACCTTTGACTAAACTATCGCACAACTATTGTGCGATTGTCGATTGTTTCGCAGTTCAATTGTTGCACAACTAAAAATCGAATAGTGTACCATCATATAAGCTGATAGCAATCAATGCGAGACTAAACAGTTGTGCGATAGTTTAGTTAGGTGCTCGTAATTTATTAATTCCTTTTGTAAATGCAAATTAGTTTGCGATTCTCAGTAGCTGTGTGTAGGTGTATAAAAGGTCTCTAAGTTTAAATTTTATAAAGGTATTAACTTTTCAGAACTGAGGCTGAGACGCTGAAAACTGGTATTTTGGAACCTACGCTTTCAGAAAATTCAGTATTAGTAAGAATTGATTAATAAAGTAACAGTAAATAATTATTGTCTTAGCTTTTAAGTTATGTAACTGTTGTGCAAAAGTATCTATATATAAAATAAAATTGGAGTGTCTGTAATATCAAAAGCATTGCCTAAACTGCTGAACGAATCTCGATTATATTTGACTAGCTGTTGCTCGCGACTTCGCCCGCGTGAAACTAAAAAATAGGAAAAAATATAGCCTATGTTACTCACAGGTAAATTACCATTCTGATGGTGAAAGAATTTTTAAAATCAGTCCAGTAGTTTTTGAGTTATTTCAATACATACAAAAATACAAATTTTTCGTCTTTATAATATTAGTATAGTTATATATGCAGAGGATATTCTGGAAGAATATTTAGTCTACATATTTTATTTTTAATCCTACGCGAACAGAGTGGGGGGCTTAAGCTAGTATTTACTAAATATCATTGAAAGTAAGCTTCAAAGAATATGTAAATTGCGTCGGTTTATGACTGGTATGAATTCAGATTATATTGAGTACTTCTAAGTTGCAAAATCTCTCATTACTAAAGTAATAACTACATATATGCTTGTATGTGAATAACAAGCGGGTAATCCTCCAATCGACTGGACTTGGCGTTTTATCGACACGTACGTGCCAATAGGATAATCCGCCATTACAGCGCGGGTAATTGCCAGATATCGACATATCGATAGCCAGAAGATTACCGCACCTCACTATGTCAGGTTTAAACTGGATTGGACAAACTGTATACCTTCAAACTTTAAGTAATAGACCGATGAAGTTAGAGGAACAAAAGAAATTGTGTGAAAGAATATGCGTAAGGTGTGAATTCAGATATGACGGCTGATGGAAGAGTCCATACTGTGCCTACCATCCATTTTCACGTTGATTAGATGTTGTTGATATCGACAATTCACGTATTAACTCGTTTATAACGTTAAGATGTGGTGACAATATCTACTTCTACATTTAATTCAATATATATTTTTTGACTAACTGATCCCGTGCGGCTTCATCCGCATGAAATTATGAAAATTTTATTTAATTATTCCATGTTCTATTTCTTGTTTATGGCTCTCCTTCAGCGGATTGGGCCAGTGTCAAGTATTTTATTGTTTACATGTGTCAAATTATCAATTGCAAATGTCAAAATGACATGACATTATGACAAACCATGGCAATTTTGCTTCCTTTATGTTGGCAGCAACTTATGGTCTCTTTCTCACATTAGGGTTTTTAACCTAAACATTTACCTCCTAAGTTTAATGGCGTGAAATATATAGCCTAAAGCGTGACGCAAGTGTAGGGCTTTTTATTAAAAAAAGAATTATTTAAAAATATGCAGTAGTTGCAGGAATCTTAGGCAACAAAGAAGTGAGTGTTTACGCTTTATTATAATAGTATAGATTTCTTGGTTCATTTGCATTATTATTTTTTAAAGTTTATAACTTTCTTTAACTAACCGTCAAACAGTATTAAAATTAGTCCCCCTTTATGTAGATTTAAAGTTATATCTACACTAAATGTATCCCTTAGTTACCAAATTACGAATCTGAGTGCAACAATAATCATTCTCTAATACATCATTACCTCAACCAAAATATATTCCTTCCTAAATCAAACATTTTAAAACGTACATAGCCTTTACATAAATTTAAAGCTCAATAAAATGGCAGTTATAATATATTGCCGATTTTAAAATTCTTGTACAAGGGATGATATATTTGAACATTCCACCGGCGATAAAGGACCGGAACTATGCGACGTTTACTCACCAGCGCTTGGATGGTAAGAAATTGTACCGTAGATTGTACTGAAGTAGTTACATTCATTCAGTCATCACCGTTCTTTATCAACTGATTTGATGATGGATGATAGAGTTATTTGAAGGACCAAAAGCCATTTGCCGAACATACAGAAGTAAGATAAGGAACATAATGATTGTACTTCAAGTAAATACAACATGTTCTAGCTATTACGCCCGTGAATTTAAAAAAAATAATAAAAAATATACCCTATGTTACTCACAGATAATGTAGCTTTTGAACGGTGATGGAATTTTTGAAATCGGCCCAGTAGATTTTAAGTTATTCCAATACATAAAAAAATACAAATCTTTCTTCTTTTTAATATTAGTGTAGATACAGATGACAATTGATAGACGCGACATTTCATTTGATGGTTTACAAGAACCCAAAGTAACAAAACAATGCAATAAATACCTTTATACGACTCTCTTAGTATCGAAATCTAAAGAGAATATTAAATGTCTACTATTGAATGAAAATAATGGATTACATGATAGCAAATACGTATAAAAATAACTACATAATATTAGTAATAAGAGATATCGTAATCAGAAATAACGCTAACAGTAACAATCTCAATGAATTCTCAGTATCCAACAGGAACATTGATGAACAAGTCAATACAACTTAAATCGTATCGAGTTAAATTCGAGAAATCGTAGTAATCAGAGAGTCGAAATACGAATCTTTCATGGAACTGTTAAAGTACTGGAGAAGCCGTCTCTTGCAATAGAAATGATTTATTCATATATCTGTTCTGATCTTTGACTATTATTAACAGGACACGTGAAGCGCATATGAAAACTTACAGGTTCTATAGTTTCTATATAGTTAGAGTTTGTGTGAAATTTTGAAATCAGAATGTGTTCTTAAATACTTGTCTACATCATTTGCTAATGTGTAATCATTTTTTTTTATTTTTTTGTCGATACTATTTTTAATTGTATGTGTGCTTTGAACACTGATGTACCTTTCCAATAAATAACTCTTTACTTCACCCTCTGCGAAAACTGGCGAAATATTTTTAGTACGTCGACTGTTCATGCCTAGTCCACTTTTCTATAGTCAAAGTTTTTTATAATACCGTGTGCGAGACATGTTTATGACTTCTAGATGTGCCACTGAATAGCTATGAATTATGGAGGAAGGTTTAAAAACGAAATCGATTAAGAGCAGCCGAATAGGTAATCAATTTGGAACGTCCATCGTAATAGATTCTATCTCCGATATCTACGATGCAATTCAATTTATGGGTATAATGCATATTAATGGACATTGTTTTGATCCGTTTTTGCTGACGGAAATTCGGTATACACACCTATATTATGGGTTTCGACTGTTTTGGCTTTTGTATTAACCAAAGATATTCAAATAGTATATAGAGGTGGCATAGTTGACACTTCACTTGATTCATTTAATCTCACTAACGTTGTCTATTATAAAATCATGAAAACCATTCATAATAGCTAATTTTATTTAATTTAATTGCCAGTAGGTATCACTAAATAATATTTAAATATTTACATTTTATTTTATAATGCTGTTTAGTTTATTTTTATAACAAAAGATGGAGCTTGTTATAATATTGTTAAGTTTCATTACATGACAATACAACACAAGGTGGCACTACACTTGACGACTGATATACCATTCAAAGAAAGTTTTGTAAAAAAAATTTGTTCACTGTCTCGTCTTTATATTTTTCAATGTCTTTGCTATACATTTTGTGGTCTCTATTTTGTTAGAGAAAACGAGTATGACGTTGTTTTATTGAAGATTCCAGGACTAACACAGTCTTTTGTTTTATGATATCAAGGGTTCTTTTTAGCTTGCTGCTAATTCATGTAATGCCGAATTTAGTGTGCATTTACTAGCCGTTACTACTCTATAAAAGCCGTCTTTCCAAGAATTTTAATTGACGATTACTTTCCCTTGTTACAGATTTAACGAGCGAACATCAAAAGGAACACGAATGTAAACTGTAACCCAATGTATATAACATATGGCTGCACGCACGTATAAATACCTTAAAATAAAATGGCTAACAAAACAAACGATAAACCAATACATAAAAACAATGAAACAGAGTTTAAAAATGAAGCTTTACAAGATGAGATAACGGTCGCCGATATTAAAGAAGCAACTCGATATAATGTGAGGTTGATATTTGAGAAACAAAACAAGATCAAAGTGACGAGTAGAAGTGCGAATACATTGTTCCTTTTGTTAAGGATACCGTTTTATTGGTGTGTTTTGATGAAGCAATGGATAGTGTTATGCTTGTTGATAAGTTGTACCTCAGCGTTAAAGGAACAGAAGTTTGCGATTGAACCACAGGATCAAGTGAGTTTTGAACCGTTTTTGACACATTTTTTCCTCCTCTCATGTTGTTTTCAACAGTAATTTGTTTTTATGATTTATTGAATAGCTTTATGCGGTTTCTTTTCACACTTTTAATCATACTAATATTATCAATGCGATAGTTTAGAGGGATGGATGGATGTTTGTTAGAGTTTGTAGCCTAAAATGCTGTACATATTTTGATAAAATTTGCCAGAGATGTAGAGGATAGTCTGGAAGAATACATAGGCTACTTGCATTTGTTTTTCATTCATCTAATTTCACTCAAAGGTAGACAAAGTTTTTGCTTTACCATACAAGTGGTAATTTTCCTTTCCTTGACCTTGTAAACTTACCATATACGGTCTTTTTAATTTTGATCTTGTTGGTAATTTAATAAGTATGTAAAACTTACAATTTCCCTAAATAAAAGCGACTCTTGTTTCTTCTAAAAATATGTTAATAAAGTTATCCATAACATGCAAAATTCCTACAAATTCCAATAAATTTAACAAGGGTTAATTAATTGGTTGTGTTGTTCGAGCTATTTCGCGAACAAATCAAATTACACCGCAAACAAAATGCCTCACCCGCCAGATATTTGATCGCCCTTCTTTGTATTAACCATAAAATTGATAACACCCACACAAACAATATTAATAGCCTTCAAGGAAATGTACAGTGAAACTCTGCCCTTATCTCAAGAATACCTTCATTCACTTAAGTTTTTAATGTCTTAGGCTCAGATAACTTAAAAATGCCGTCACTGTAATATAAGGGAACAAAATCAGATATTTCCATCACATATTTCACACGTTCGATTGTTATCAGGCAATTAAAAATTTGGTAGAACTGACACTTAATAAAGTAACCATGAACCAGATATTTACAAAACAAATAGACGAGGTAGTGAACAAATTGTCACCGGTACTTTCTCTGAAAGGTACTATGTCAGTTGTCAAGTTTTGTGCCACCTCGTGTTGTATTGACATGTATTAAAAAATCTGAATTATTAGCTCTGACTTTTGTTATAAAATAAATTAAATAATGTTATAAAAATTGAAATTTTTAATGGATATTGGCAATTAATTTCAATACATATATTAATATGTGGTTTTGAGACTATCAATAGATAATGCTAGTAGTGATCATATGTAAAATGTCTCAAGTGAAATTTCAAATATGCCTCCTCTATATGCTTTGAATCTCTTTGCCATCAACATAGTCTGGTATATGGTATAGTGGTCGCCGTATCAGGAGAAAAGTAGACCGATATGGCTTCGTGTAACTTTTTTTTTTCACACTACGGCATTACTTCAGTCAGCCCGTGAACATGGCGCATGCAACTGTGCCTAAATATCGGGAGCTAAAACAATTCAATCGTGGTAAGAAACCCGTATCTTACGAACATTATATTTGTAAAAACCATGACAGTTTAAAGTTATATAACATAGTCTGGTTAGTACAAGAGTATGTTGATATAGTACTTAGAAAAGGATGGATTGCGTGAAAGGTGACATGATCAAAAAGGGAGTGATGAGAGATGACGTTTTCCCCTCTCGGATAGCCTTGTGCCTAGTCACTCTATGGAGCGTCCACCAAAGCGACATAAGAGGTCAGTGGCCTCCAAATCCTGTAATAATAAAAAAAATGAGATGACGTATGATAGAGTTATTTGGAATACAAAAACCTGTAGTGCCGACCCTACGAGAGTAGGATAAAGAATCCTCCTTATCCTAAGTAGTAATAGTGGTAGCATCCTCCTTATCCTAGTACTAAGAAGACCGGATGGTCTTTCCAGTGTTACCAGTACTAAGAAGACCATTCGGTCTGATGGTCTTCTTAGTACTGGTAACAACCCAAACATCAGTATTTGTTAAAAACCCGATTGTCTTTTTCAAGTTTAGTATTATTAGTTTTTTTTATACAAATGTCCAATAACCCGTACATATCAACCGATAAAAAAGGACAATTTCAAGCGAACAGCTCGAGGCAAGGAATTTTTAATATCCTTGGATATTTTCAATACAGGGTTTTCATGTCAACTCCACTTTGCCTACATAAAGAATAATATTGGCCAAATAGATTTTTCTTAAGAAAACTTTGATTTATTGTATCACTAGCTGTTCTCCTGCGACTCCATCCGCATTAACTTATGAAAATGTTATTTTGTTATTTACATGTCTCAAATAATCAATTGCAAATGTCAAAATACCAATTACCTTACTATGGCAATTTTGCTTTCTTGATGTTGGCAGCAACTTATGGTCTCTTTCCTACGTTAGGATTTTATCCAAAATATTTACCCCCTAAGTTCAATGGCGTAAAAAGATATAGCCTAAAGCGTGACGTAAGAGTAGGGCTTTTTATTAAAATAAGAATTATTCAATAATATGCTGTACTTGCTGACATCTTAGGCAACAAAGAAGTGTGTGTTTACTCTTTGTTATAATAGTATAGATTATAAATATTCCAAAGTAAGTCTAATTTTCTTTTCGAGGAATTAATATAGATTTTAACCGATGTATGCATTTAACTATAAAACGTGGAAATTCATAGTAAAATGATTTTAAAGACGACTTTGAAATAAATTGATGTGACTCGTGTAAATGTACTTAAAGAATTATTTGAATTGTAAATTATTAGAGCGCGCACACCTTTGACTAATCTATCGCACAACTGTTTAGTAGCGCTTTGATTCCTATCAACTTACATGGAGGTGCGAAGACTACTTGATATTTAGTTGTGCAACTAAACAGTTGAGGCTGCAAAACAATCGACAATCGCACAACAGTTGTGCGACGGTATGCGCCCGCTCTTACAGTATTCTTCAGTTCTTATAAAAACATTTTTTTTTAAGTTTCTGCTCTTTAAATATAATATATCTTTCTCAGAGTGCGGTCGTCGGATCCAGGGTTACTCTCCCTTGTAGAGTGGAGGGTAAAGTCGGACAACTGCAATGGACCAAAGATGACTTCGGTCTGGGCACTCATAGACATCTCACAGGCTACGAGAGATATAAAATGGTCGGCAGCGACGAAGAAGGTAATAAAAGTAAAATAATAAGAATTTGTTTTGGCACGTCAGGGACAAGAGCATACTACTGACTGACGCGCCAACTCAAGTGAAACATACCGTTTTAAATTGTAATTATTCTTGACAGCGAATTTGTTTGCGTTTAGTTAATGTTTTAAGACATTTTACGAATAAAATGGGACACAACATCTTGATGCTTTAAGTTAGATTTTTTTATTTAAATAATTATAGATTAAAGAATTTTCATGTTTTTAAATAGTTTTAGCTGTGCTTTGATATTTGCCTAAGGAAGACTACCAATATCTATACTATTATAATAAAGCGTAAACACACACTTCTTTGTTGCCTAAAATGTCAGCAATTACAGCATGTTTTTGAATATTTTTTTTAATAAAAAGCCCTACACTTACGTCACGCTTTAGGATATATATTTTTACGCCATTAAACTTAGGGGGTCAATGTTTTGTATAAAACCCTAATGTGGGAAAGAGACCATAAGTTGTTGCCAACATCTAGGAAGCAAGGTTGCCATAGTTTGACAACATGTCATGTCTTTTGACATTTGTTTTTGATAATTTGACAAATGTAAACAAAAAAATAAAATTTTCACAATTTCACTTGGATGAAGCCGCACGGGAATAGCTAGTTATAGATGTAATCGTTTGGATGGATTGATATTAGTTACTATGTATCGTCAAATCCGTGTAATGGATCTTAATGAATTTCGGCAGGGATGTAGATCATAGTCTGAAAGAACACATACTTACTAAGTATTCTTATTTCGTGCTGACGAAGTCTACTAGAAGCTAGAAACAAATATAAACAGTTTATATTTAGATATTAAACGTTCATGCTTTAAAGGTTGAGAGCTAAGACAAAGCTAAATCTAAAATTATTACACGAAACTAAAATAAGCCAGACAAGAATATCGTGTTCCGAGTGTCTTAGCTTCCTTAACTATGTTTACTTTGTGCTTCTCGACTCGAGAATTCTAATAAAAACGGCTTATATATTATCCTATTAATTTTAAACATAAGCTAAGATAATGGATTGTACAGGTGCAAAAATGTCATTTATAAAAATGATTGTAAATTTTTTAAAGATTAAGATTACTGGCAACTAATAATTTTGAGTACTGGCTGAATGTACATCGTGCATGTCAAGCGACGATCGAATGACAGATGACAGTTGTCATTGAATAGTGGAAGGATTCGTTTTATTATAAAATCAATTGATTAATCTCTGTTAATGTTTGCAATCCGATTAGATTGTGTTGTGCAGTTTTCATTTAAAATGGTGGTTAACTAAGAATGGTGTTTCTAATGTTACGCGATTGTTATTTGTGTTAATGTCAGGTTTCCGAAAGATACGTAGTTTCGTTTTTTTTAATACTGCACGGGAAAAGTCGCCAGCAATGGCTAGTATATACAAATATTGTAAAGATGAAATATTTGCATTTTCATATTGTAATAACTCAAAAACCACTGGACCGTTTTAAAAAAAATCTTTCACCATTAAAAAGCTACGTTATCAGTGAGTAACATAGGCTATTTTCACGCGGACAACACTAAGTAAACTATAATTTGACACTTAAAAATTGTACCTTGATAACGTATCGACATCCACCCACACAAGCCGTAGAGAAATTGATAATGGCGCCTAATGTATCTTGAACAGACACCGTTTTGAATATTAATCACCCTCATAAAAGTCCGAAAATGGAATTAGGAAACGACGAATAGAATTTTGAGAAATCGATAAAATAACAACCAGTCGAATTGGAATTCCCAGACAACTTTTGCCAATCTATTAATATTATAAAGATTATTATTTTTGTATTGAAATAACTCAAAAACTATTGGGCCGATTTTAAACATTCTGTCGCCGTTAGAAAGGTAATTTGTCTGTGAGTAACATAGGCTGTTTTACATTATTTTTTTAATTTAACACGAACGAGGTCGCAAGCAACAGCTTGTAAAAGTATTTTTTGTTAAAAAAATACAATTTTTGTGCTATAGAATTGCTGGCTCGCGTTTGACGAAATCATTATGTTTGGAAACATGGCATGATCCTTATTTTTTCTTCCACAGGCGACTATTCTTTGGACATAAGAGAAGTTGCACTGGAAGATGACGCTACATATCAATGCCAAGTCAGCTCTGGTCCTAGAGGTAAGTTATTTGAATTTGGTATTTATAATTTATTTAAAAGAAATGGGAACAAACGCGTGGTGCAAACACCGAGGTGCTCTACGATGCCCATGAATATAGTTAACACTAGATGAACTTTGAGAAAGAGATAGACTCGCCACTTGAAGCGCCCTAAGAGGTATTGGTTTGTGAAAATATTTTGAATATTGTGTTAATTACGTTACTTTGATCAATTGATTGTTTCATCATCACGTCCCCACAGAGGGGCTCGAAGCCTACCCTAATAAGGGGTGACTAGGCCATAGTCAACCACGCTGGCCCACTGCGGGTTGGTTGACTTCACACATATCTTTGAATTTCTTCGCCGATATGTGCAGGTTGTATCACGATGTTTTCCTTCACCGTAAGAAAGTCGGGTAAATTATTAAATATGGAAATTTAAAAATCGAAATACACATTGGTACATGGCGGGATTCGAACCCAAGACCTGTAGATTACAAGTCAATTGCTTAAACCACTGAGCCACCGACGCTCTTCTGTTTGTTTCAGTTTTGATTTTGATTGATTGTTTATTACAGTTTTATTGTCTCGTAGAGCGCGTGCATACCTTTGACTATACTATCGCACAAATTTAGTCTCGCTCTGATTCATATGAGCTTATATTGAGGTGCGCATACTAGTCGATGTCTAGTTGTGCATAAAACAGTTGAATTGGCTGCAAAACAACCGACAATCGCACAACAGTTGCGCGAGAGTTTAGTTATAGGTGTGTACTCTCTCTTAAACATTATGTTATTCATTTTGTTATTGAAAAATCTTACTAAACGACAAAACTAAAAAAAAAAACTTTCCCGAATTACAAAGGGATAATCACAGTTTAGATAATTACTAAGGTAACTTGCTTGGATGCTTTGTTTTTTTTTTAATTTAATACATTCCCTCGTATGTGCAGGACAAATAAATTCAATACATGAAATCCTATTTCCTTTACATATCTAGCTATCAGAAAAATTCCTTTGATATCAGTTAAATAAAATATATTCATACGTTTAAATGTTCAAAGTGGAATAATCTTACGTTCTAGAATATTCCTTTGAGGGTATATCTGAAATATGTACACAAATGTTTACTTTAATATGTCATTTTAGTATTAAGTTTTCGCGTCGTAAAGATATTATGGTTGAATTACTTTGTAATGTTTCGGCTTTACACTGTCAAAATATTTGTTTACTAGCTTTCCGTGACTCTGTTCGCGTGGTATTACAAAAACAAAATCAAGTAGCCTATGCCTTCTTCATGGCTATCCTCTACATCTATGCCAAATTTAAATGTGATCCGTTCATTAGTTCAGGCTACAAACTAACAAACATCAATCCATCTAAATTTTCACATTTATAATATTAGTATGATAAACGAATTCAGTCATGAAATAAAACAACTAAAAATCCGTGCTTGGCTAGCGCTAGAATCAAGATATTACAAGGATTATGTTATCTATACTATTATAATAAAGCGTAAACACACACTTCTTTGTTGCCTAACATGTCAGCAATTACAACGATATTTTTCAATAACTCTTTTTTTAATAAAAAGCCCCACACTTACGTCACGCTTTAGACTATATATTTTCACGCCATTAAACTTAGGGGGTAAATATTTTGGATAAAAACTCTAACGTGGGAAAGAGACCATAAGTTGCTGCCAACATCAAGGAAGCAAGATTGCCAAGGCCTGTCATGTCATGTCATTATGACATTTGCTATTAATAATTTGACAAATGTAAACAATTAAATAAAATTTTCATAATTTCATGCGGATGAAACCGCACGAGAACAGCTAGTATTTCAGTAAAAAGTATTTAAACACTCTCCTAAGTTTTTATGCTAAGTTTGGTCGTGTTATATTCAAACAAAACACAGGTATCTTCAATTCTTAGATTGTATTTTTTTATAGTAATTTTATCAGCACTATTTTATGCCAGTGTTAGATGTTTTTTTTTTGTATTTTTACAGTTTATACCGTGGCAAATACAAAAAAAGTCTCGTATAATTGTTAACAATCCGTCATATGTCCCTTACCGCTAATATCGGACTCGAATACAGTCTGTATGGTAATTGTTTTTTGTCCCTTCAGTTTATTTAGGGTTATTTGGATAACATGTGCGGGAACTTCGTTAGGGTTGTTACGTCCGAGATTTATTGGACAAGTTTTAATAGTCGCCGCGTTAAATTATTGTTATTGTTTTCACAGAGAAATTATGATAAATTCTAACAATGTTTTTGTTTGATTTTTGATATAAATATAGACTTCGTCCACGCAATGTTAAGATAAAAAATTTGCCTATAACATGCCCGTCTATGTCAGCTACCCTTCAGTGAAAGTCCGGTTGGAATCGGCCCAGCAGTTTCGCTGATTACCAGAAACAAACGTGGCTTGCGGAAAAACAGTCAGACACACAGACATACAAAAAAAATAACTGCGATTTTTGGTATTTAAAAAAAAACAAAACCATTTAGCCTACGTGTTCTTCCAGACTATCCTCTACATGTATGTCAAATTTCATTGAGATCCATTCAGCAGTTTAGGCTACAAACTCTAACAAACATCCATCCATCTAAATTTTCACATTTACAATATTAGTACGAAAGTACGATGTTACCCAGTGATAACGTAGCTATTTATT